ATCGGACCCGCGCGGGGGCCAGAGCGCTGGGCAGGAGCCGGGAGACCCTTCTCTCGTCCACTGGCCCCCCCGGGGACCCTGTCACGCCCCGTCCCCGCCGCCGAGCCTGTGTCCTCCCTTGCCAGAGGAGAGACCTTGGGCCAGAAGGTCGCCCAGACCATTTCGGCACGGACTTCGTGGGGTCGAGTGTGGCCCAGGATTCTGCTCTGATCCCCGGCCCTGCCCGTCTCCCCTACAGGCTCTCCCACCTGTCACCCTGGCCCTTCTCTGTTTGGACGGCGTCTTCCTCTCCTCAGCCGAGAATGACTTTGTCCACCGCATCCACGAGGAGCTGGACCGCTTCCTGCTGCAGAAGCAGCTGTCCAAGTAGGCTGGTGTGGGGGACGAGGGCGTTTGTTAGGAAGGCAGGGGTCCCCAGCCTCCCATCCCTCTTCTCCCAGGTCATGCAGCCCAGAGAGGTGGCCGGCAGCTGGCTCTGACCTTGGCTTTCAGTCTTAACAACCGGCTGTCGGCCTCTTCCAGCTGCATCTTTCCTTTGTAATTCTGAGCATCACCCCAAGACTGAAGGGGACGGGGATGGGACCAGCGGCTCCTGTGATCACCTCTATGCTTACGCCCTTTGCAGTCTACCTGGGACCCAGTGAGACTCCTTGCAGGAGTCAGGGCCCAGGGCTGATCCTGGACCCCTGCTCAACCCTCCTTCTGGTGCCTTCCAGGGTTCTTCTTTTCCCCCCACTCTCCAGTCGCCTCCGGTACCTGATCCATAGAACGGCAGAGAATTTTGATCTCTTGAGCAGCTTCTCCGTTGGGGAGGGCTGGAGGAGGAGGACTGTCATTTGTCATCTGGACATCAGGTGTGTAGCCTTCCAGCTTGGAGGGCCCTATGTGGTTGCGTGTGGGTAGTAGGGCCAGCTGGTCAGCCTCTGGGAGGGAGAGTCTGTTAGAACCAGGGCCGGGGTGGCTCAGGCTGCTGCCTTGCTGTGCATGTTGGTTAGAGAGAGAGAGAGGAGAAGGGAGCGAGGAGAGAGTTGAAAGAGAATTTACCTCCCCTGGTGTGCAGCCAAAAGTAAATGATCTCCAATTTGGATTATAGCATGGGAGGGCCAGCTGGCTGCTTTAGGCTTGTTCAGAGATGGCATTCAGCCTCCGCCATGATGCCTTCCTAAGGGGTTTTTGAGAGTTGTTTTGGCTTTGGTTTTGCCTAATGCTGACTAGAGTGTCATACCTGGGTGATAAGAGACTCCAGTAAGTCATTTTTCTCTGGGTCCCCCACATTCTGATGACCTTCTCCTGTTCCTACTCCAGGGTACCCAGTTCAGATGGCCCATCTGGTCCCTGCCGCCCTCCTCCTTCCCATCCCGGCAAATACCGCGGACCTCGGCCCACCTCAAACCAGGGACCAGCTGCAGGTCCCCGAGGGGCACGGGCTGGCCAGTGGCATCGTGGACGCAAGCCAGACCAGCCTTTGTATGTGCCCCGGGTGCTGCGCAGGCAAGAAGAATGGGCACCCACCAATACCCCGGGGCTCAAAGGAGAAGCCCCAGCGGGTGAGGTCCTGGAAGAGCCTGGAGATGTTGGTGCTGGAGACCCCAGCTCTGATCACGGACTCCCTGTGTTGCTGACTCAGGGAACAAAGGACCCAAAGGGCCCTGTAAAAAGTTGCGAGAATGAGCCACTGCTGGACCTAGTTGGCACTGAGCCCCCGGGACCCGAGAGTCACTCAGGGAAGGGTGACAGGGTGGAGACGGCCATACCACTGGGGTCCAGCCTGCAGCTGGACCTGGAAGAGGGGAAGGGGAGTCTGCTGGAGAAGAGCGTGGTGGCAGAGGAGGAAGAAGACGAAGAGGAGGTGGAAGGCGAGGGGCCCAGCAGCTCAGAGGATGATTACAGTGAGCTGCTACAGGAGGTGATGAGACTTTGAGCCCGGAGAAGGGAGGGTGGAAGTGAGGTGGGTGTGGCCATGGGTAGATGGGGACCAAGGGTTATGGTGTGGAGGGTGAGGATGTGCCAGGGGGGCAGGGCTGGGTGTTAGGGTCCCTTAGGAAACGTGGGGGAGGAGGTGTGGATTTGGGTTCCGGCTCAGCCATTTAAGACCCTGGGGCAAGGCATTTTGCTTTTCTAAGTCTCGGTTTCCTCACCTGAAAAAACAAACAAAACATGATACATGCTTTACAAGGTAGCATAGACAGAATATGTGTATGCTTTGTTGTGTGCTACAGATGTTTGTTGGCCATGAAACTCTCTCTTCATGCCCGGCTCGGTGGCTCGGACTGTCATCCCAGCACTTTGGGAGGCTGAGGCGGGTGGATTGCCTGAGCCCGTGGGTTCGAGACCAGCCAGGGCAGCTTGGCAAGACCTCGTTTCTAAAATAAATTTAAAAATTACCCAGGTGTGTTAGCGTGCCTGTAGTTCCAGCTACTTGGAAGGCTGAGGCAGAAGGATCGCCAGAGCCCAGCAGGTTGACGCTGGGGTGGCTGTGAGCATGCCACAGCATTCCAGCCTGGGTGACAGAGTGAGGACTCTTGACTCAAAAAAAAAAAAAGAAAGAAAGAAAGAAAGAAAATCTCTGTTCTGCATGAAGCTTTGTCTTACAAATCTCACTTCCTTGGAACCATATATCTGCCCCATTACTGGCTGTGGATGTGATTGGGAGGATGGGCATCTTTTATTATGGGCATTTTTTACATGAAGAATGCAGGCCATGCCAGGCACGGTGGCTCACGCCTGCGATCCCAGCACTTTGGCAGGCCAAGGCAGGAGGATGGCTTGAGGCCAGGAGTTCAAGACCAGCCTGGGTAACATAACGAGACCCCCGTCTCTATAAAAAAAAAAAAAAAAAAAAGAAAAGAATGCAGACCAGAAGGACTTGCCTAATATCACATTGCTGATAAGGGAAGAAAGATTCTGCATTTGCCCAGCTATGTCTCTTACTGACTGTGTATCCTTGGGCAGCATACTTAACTCTTTGGCCATCAGTGTCCCCGTCTGGAAAGCAGGTATGTAGACTATAGTTTTCAGGTTTATATGAAGCGTAATGTGTGTAAGTGCCGGTCATACCCAGTGGGGGCACCATAAAAGTAAGTGCCTCCCTTAAAACTGCACTTGACCTGCCTTCCCCGTCTGGCTTCTGCTGCCTGCCAGGCAGGGCCCATCCCCCTGCAGGGCTCTTAGCGTGTGGTTTAATTGTTTGGGGCCCCATGGCCAAGCTCCCCTTGCTAAAAAGCCCGCTTTCTCCCAGATCACAGACAACCTGACTGAGAAGGAGATTCAGATAGAGAAGATCCATGTGGACACATCGTCCTTTGTGGAAGGGCTGCCTGGGGAGAAGGACTTGGCCCACGTGGTGGAGATCTATGACTTCGAGCCAGCACTTAAGACGGAGGACCTGCTGATGACATTTTCTGAGTTCCAGTGAGTGGTGGGGGAGGCGGTCTGCTTGTCTTCTGAGAGGCATGGGATATCACTTTAGTTGGGGACGCTTGCCTGCCCTTTCCCAGCACCTAATGCTGCAGAAGGAAAGTGGGTGTGTTGTCTGGGCTCTGCTCCTGTGCAGTTCAGCAGCTGGCCATTCCTGGGAAAGAGAGAGTCAGTTTTTTGGTTGTGGACACATTCTGGAGGCCTCAGGCTTGGGCTGGTCTCTCTGCATGGCCACGCGCCTGCCAGGATCCTGAGGCCCTCCCTCAGTCTTGAGGGACATGGCAGCCCACTGGCCTCCCCTTGCCTACCTTCTGACCAGCTGCCCAGTGGGTAGGCTGTGGGCCAGCTCAGTGCAGGAACTGTTTCTGGGGTAAACTGAGTGGCTTGGCAGGGCAGAGGTGGCGGCCAGGACCAGGAAGACTGCATTCTGAGACAAGGCGTCCCTTCTCTTTGGCTTCCCCCATATTCCTTTAGACCTACTCCCCTGTCTTTCCTCCTTTTTTTCTTTTTTTATTCTCATTTTCTTTCCTCCACTTCCTTTTCTCTTTTCCTGCCTTTTTTTTTTTTAAAATAGTGATGTGGTCTCGCTATGTTGGCCAGACTGGTCTCGAACTCTTAGTCTCAAGTGATTGTCATGTCTCAGCTTCCCAAAATGCTGGGATTATAGGTATGAGTCTCATGACCAGCCCCTGCTTAGTCTTTTTACAATCTCTTTCTGCATGGCCTCTTCACTGACTCCGCCTCCCAAAGGCTTCCCCTGGGCTCTGTGTCTGAACGGGAGAAAAGTTAAAGGGTGGCTGGGTAGAACGAGGTCTGTTTTTCTGCTCCCCACCCCAATGATGTGGCAGGGCTGTGGCCCCCTTGACTTCCTGAGCCCGGGTGGGCACATCCTGCCTTTGGCCTCTTGTAGGCCACAGGTCACTGGCATCTTACTGAGCAACAGACAGAAAGCTGACAGGCATAGTGTCATCACCATGCCTATTTGAGGTCCCGTCCTCCTCCCCACCACAGAAACCCTTGTGTCCCTAGCCACAGACCCCACACCCTTGTTTGGGCTGTGACAGGGCTTGTGAGAAGCTCTCGTCACCCTTGGTGTTGTGCTATACGAGCTTTTTGAATCCTGGCTTCTTCAGCTCTAGAAACTGGGGACCCGCCTGAAATATTGACAGGGGTGGCATTTGTCTTTCTGAAGTGGAGTCAGGGCCTTCAGAGAAAGTTTGCTGCAAATGGCTGTCTCCTTTCCAGAGGATATGAGACCTTTTCTTGGGCTCGTAGTGCTTGGAGACCGAGGACAGGAGACTTCTGGGGGAAAGGGTTTGGCTCACTTGCTCTCCTGACCGCCGTCTCCCCTCCCCTGCACAGAGAGAAGGGGTTCAAGATTCAGTGGGTGGACGACACGCATGCGCTCGGCATCTTCCCCTGCCTGGCCTCAGGTAACATAGCCCACGCGGGGCTCAGCCCTCTCTCTGACCTCCGTTGAGAGGGGAGGACCCGTGGTTTCCTGGGTGGAGGGTCACCCGTCTCCCGGGTGCAGGCTGACCTGAGCCAGCAGGCTCTCGGGGCTCTGCTCCCCACCAGCCTGATCCCAAGGTCCGGGGAGCCAAGCCGGCTCTGGCCTGGAAGTTCACAGTAGCGAGTGTTTTAAGTGACAGGCACTTCCCCTTGTGTAGTGCTTCAATGGAGAGGCTTCAGATTCAGGTGACATTGGCTGAGTAGGTGTCATAGGCCAAGCCCTGGGGGATGTCCCTATATTGAGTGAAACAACAGGAAAGTGCTGCTTTTATGGTGAAAAGCATTCAAGTACTAGCAATTTCGTATGGTTTGCATGGATGCATTTTCGTTTGGTTGCACTACAGCCTGAAGACAGATCAGGTTTCTTCCATTTGACAGATGGAGAGACCGAGGGTCCAGGACATTAGGGGTCGACTCTAGGTTACGAAGTCCTCTCAGTGTCAAGGCTGGGGATGCCATGAAGCTCTTAAACAGCCCGGGTGCTCCATGCACGACTTGGAGCAGTGCATGCTTGTTCCCTGAGGGTCTTGGTGGCAAAAAGGAAGCATTTGCTCTAAGCTTCAGAGCTTTAGAAGGTGGGAGTCCGCCTCTCCTGATGTCAGAATCGCAGCCTCACTGGGGTAGCTTCTGGCTGGCCCAGCGTGGGCATGTCCTCTGAGAGCACAGGTGTCCCCATGCAGGCCTAGGGGGCCCCAGGACATGAGGTGAGCAGGTGGCAGTCATCTCTTTCCCAGCCAGGCTGGTGTCAGAGCGGTCCTGCCCCAAGCTCTGAATAGGTTCTCAACGCAGCTGTATCAGTTCTGGGTGAGACATTGCCACGGGGTCCCGAGGAGGCCTCTCGTGGGATGGAGAGAAGATGGCTCCAGAGCTGCTTTCTTCCCACAGCTGCTGAAGCCTTGACCAGGGAGTTCTCAGCGCTCAAGATCCGGCCCCTCACACAGGGAACCAAGCAGTCAAAGCTCAAAGCCCTGCAGAGACCAAGTAAGGAAGCAGCTGTTCCTGGATGGGGACGCTGCAAATGTTGGCTTGGACAGGGTGGGGTCTTCCTCTTCCTCTGTTTTCCTTTATTTAATTCATTGTTCTTTGGGAGACCTGAACTACAGTAGCCAGTGGGGCTGTGCTCCCCTGGTGGTACCCAGGGTGGGAGGCTCCCTCCGGGAGTGGCATCTGCCAGTCTTTGTGCAGGGGCTGCCCTCCCCTCTGCTCTCACTTTCCTCTGGACGATGCTCAGGAATAGCCTGGTCTTTCCTCTGGAGGGCCATGGAAACCGTATCCCGCTGGGGCCAAAAGAGCCAGGCCTTGGGGCCAGCCCTGGGTGTGATCCCAGCTCTGTCCCTTGTTTCAGCTGACCTTGAGCAAGTCACTTGGGGTGTGACTTGTTCTCTTTCTGTGTGAAATAAGCAGATCGTGCAGGGTAGCCTGGAGTATTAAATGAGAGCACAGCAGACGGCCCGAGGGGCACATAGAAGGCACCAGACTAGTGTTATTTTCTCTCTTCTCCTTCCAGAAAGCATGATGGGGGCTTTTAGAGGCCAGTTTTCTGTAACTTCAAGGTGGTGACCAGCAAAACAGGCTTGGAAGAGGCCTGCTGTGGCCGTCCGTGCCCTTGTGGATGGTCACATGGCCTTTGTCCCAGACTTCTTGGGAGAATAAATATCCTGTTTGTGGGTCCAGGAGCTCCAGGTGCCCCATCCTGACTTGATTTTCCTCCCAGAGTGCCCTACAAAGCAGGGATGTGGGTGGGACTAACTCTTCCCTGCCCCCACTGAAGAGCCAGAGAACAAAGGTGCTGAGAGGTGCCAAGGTTGGGCCAGCATCCCATTGGGAGCTGGGAGCCTGAAGCCAGGATCCCATTGGGAGCTGGGAGCCTGAAGCCGGCCCCCCTGAGGGCACGGCGGGGGCCTTGGGCCCCCCACTTGGAACATGAGAGTTTGGCTGGGATGGCCTCTGAGACTGCTGTGTTGCTGGGAGGGAGGCAGCCATGGCCTTGAGTTCAGATCCCAACCCTGGGCCTTCTTTTCTAGAGCTCCTGCGTCTGGCGAAGGAGAGGCCACAGACCAATGCGGCCGTGGCCCGGAGGCTGGTGGCCCGGGCCCTGGGGCTCCAACACAAAAAGAAAGAACGCCCTGCTGTCCAGGGTCCCCTGCCGCCTTGAGGCCTCTGAGGCCCAGCCGGCCTGGATCCAAGCCCCGTACTGGAGCCGGGGCCCCACCACCACAAGCCTTTACAGACGCTGGAGCTGCCCTGCCCCACCGCTGGCGCTTCACTGTGGGGGAATGGTGGGCATTGGCTGGTCTAGTCCCAGGAATGGAGAAAAAATAAAAAGTGGTTCTAGTGTGATCGCTTTGAAATGCGATGGCTTGCGAGGGACACTAGGGGGCGCCGTCCCACCTCCCAGTGTAGACCTGCAACTGCTGAAGGAGGTTCATTCTAGGCGCGTGGCCTGGAAGAATCCTCCTAGCTGGGCCTCCAAACCTTTGTGCAAAGGGTCTACTCTGTTTTGGGGAGTAGCCTGCACCCGCTCCATAACACATGCCCAGGCTCCTCTGACCACTTGGTATCACAGCCTGCCGGCCTGTGCTGTGAGCAGCTCTGGGACCTCTGGGATTTCCTGTTGGTGTGGGTTATGAAAGGTCCTTGCAGAAATAAACACGAGGCTGGGTGTGGTGGCTGATGCCTGTAATCTCAGCACTTTGGGAGGCTGAGGCGGGAGGATCCCTTGAGCCCAGGAGTTTGAGACCTGCTTCCTGGACAACATAGCAAGACCTTGTCTCTACAAGAAAAAAAAAAAAATTAGCTGGGCGTGGTGGCACATGCCTGTAGTCCCAGCTATTCGGGAGACTGAGGCGGAAGGATTGCCTGGAGGTCGAGGCTATGGTAAGCCATGATTGTGCCACTGCCCTCCAACTTGGGTGACAGTGAGAGAAAGAAAAAAAGAAAGAAAAAATACAAAACATACATGAACAAATCAAGAGGTGAGCTCTGAGTGCCTGCTGAGTTTGCCTCCCTTGCAGAAACAGGTGCTGCAAGGGATTCTTGTGGGGGCCGTGCCCTCGTCTCTCCCGGTTTGGACAGAGTTGGTGCCGAGGTGGCCCTACCTGGAGCCTTGAGGTATGGACCCTCTAGTTTGCTGGACCCTGGCCTTGTCTTGACATGAGTGGGAGCTCCATGTCTGGGTGAGAGGTGCTGGCTCGGGCCACCCAACCCCACTGCACTGGGAAAACTCAGAGCCCCTGCCCCCTCTTTCTCTGGGAAGCTGCCTGGGGACTGTCTAAATCCAGGTGTCCTAACACAACTACCGCACCACCTGACAAGTTTCAGTCAAAACAACAGTTTGAGAAAGGCTAGGACTCATGGTCTTGTTGACTTTTGTGATGTTCTCAGGCTGCTTCTCCCAGAGGGCAGGAGCTGCTTTTGTATCTATGGCAGGAGTCCTTGCGGGGGTGGGGGGCGGATATGGGGTGAACCCATACCTGCATCTGAAGATCTGTTTTTGGCAAATGGACACAGCAAGCCCGCTGCTCAGGGTCCAGGAGCAGTGGCAGAAACGAAACACAGACGCATATCGTAAATCTTTTATTCCAAGTTTCAAGTATGTGTAAGTGTCTGTGATGACACGTGGTGTTCGGTGAGTGTCCCTGTCACCCAGGTCCCTGGCTATAGCACCGTTGAATCAATAACCCACAGAATAGGAACAACAGAAGGATGAGTCACTTACACAGGTGGGCTGGCTTTTCTTTTGAGCTGTTACTTCCAAAGCCCCAGATGCCCAATATTAAATAAATGCCGCTACATTTCTTTGTGTTTCAAAGTCTGTGAAAATATAATTATGGTACCTTGGAAAATGAGGGGGGTTGGAGTGAGAAGCACCAACTCTGAGCTCACCTAATCAGAAAACACGTGGCAGCGTTATTTATATATGTGACTATAACAGCCAAGAGTAGAGGCGGTTGGTGTGATGGGAGAGGTCTAGAGAGTCAAGTTGGTGGGAGAGGACCTAAGAGGAGGAGAAATGGGATTCAGCCTGGCCACCTCTGGGCCCAGTGGGGAAAGCAAAACACGAGAGTTTACCATCAGGGGATGACAAGCTCACATTGGCCCACGTGCGACTTGAGTAGGGAATGGCCCCATATTGACTGTGGTGAGCTGGGTGGCTTGGAGGGGACAAGCTGATGATGACCTGTCTATGGGCTTGGGGTCCTGGCAAGGCTGGCTCTTGGTGCGGCTTCCATAGCCCTGAGGCCAAGCCCCGGACCCCAGAGGCCTTCCCAGGCCCCTGCGAATGATGGGAGTATCCCCTTCCTCCTGAGCTTGGATGCGGCTGCAGTTCTGGACGGGGTGGGAGCTGGGCTGGGCCGGGGCACGTGGCGACCCGTCAGACTCTGTTGAGGGAAGTCCTGGGGAAGATGCAATGTAGCCCGAAGACAGGAGGTGACCCCAGAGGTTTCTTTACCGCGTGGAGAGTTGGTTATTTATGAGTCCACTGAAGTGTTCGAATTTTTTTTCTGTCTCTTCGCTGAAGGAACCACCTGAGTAGTGGGAATCCGGGAGAGAAAGTGAGGTCAATGAGATGCTCGGCCCTTCCTTGAGCCTAGGCCAGGGAGCTGGCCTCGAGGGCTCTGCTGGGGTCCCCTCTGTGAGACCCCACAAGGGCAGTCCTAAGTGCCCACCATCGATAGGGCCAGGCACTCTGCCGAAGCTGGAGTAAACAAGGGAATAAATGTGGCGCCTTTCATTTTTATCCTCCCCAAGAGCAAGGTCTGTCACTTCTCCTGCAGAGGAAGAAACTTTGCTTTCCCCTATGCTCCCCAAGTCATGTAATCTAAGGAAAAAGTATCCTAATTGGAGCCTAGAAATAACAGTGGTTTGCTGGTTTTTAGCTCTTGACAGGAAAACCTGATACACAGAGCCCACAAACTGCTGACGCCCACATTTTTGAGACCACATGCATAATGAGTTAGTGGCTCCAGTCCTTAAATAGCTTTGGGGTCTGCCCTGGACCGGCCCAGGTTTGTACCACTCCCTCTCTCTCTCTCTCTCTCTCTCTCTCTCTGTGGCCAGGGCTGGCTGTAAAAGCTCAGCCTCCGTCCAGGCATTCTGTGTCGATGGCTTCCTTCCTGTGCGAGGAAATGTGATGCTGGCTCCATTCCCCAAGTTTTTACCCAACTCAGGAAGCTGCTGCCTCTGATTCCTCGAGAAACCAGGGTAGCTCCAGCCGGTTTGGGGAGGGTGGGGCAGCCCTGGGGCCTTACCTATGTGGCAGTTGTACATCCAGATGCGATGGCCGTCGTAGCGGCTTCTGCACTTCATGATGTTGTTGGAGTAATCCGATTCTGCAACCTCATAGTTGGGGTTAATGACAACCTGCGGGGAGGAGTAAGGTGGAGGAAGCTAGCGGGTCCCTCTCTGGCCAGTCACCACCCCAGGCCAGGGCTCAGCTGTGGTCAGAGCCAGGGTGACCTCAGGGAATGGGCACAGGGCACAGGTGGGGGTCTGAGACCAGTGAAGGTGGTACTGGCCAGAGGGGACTTGTGGGTCCTGACAAAGGCCTTGAGGCAGGACAGACGTGAGTTCAGGGAGGCAGAGGGAGCGTGGACTGGAGGAAGGAGACCGCACGTCCCTCTGTCCTTCTCAGTGTAACACACACACACACACACACACACACACATCTGTACCAAAGGTGGGCCTTCAAAAAGGGGTCCCTATGGCAGGACATGGGAGGTTGAGGGGGGAGGATTGCTTGAGGCCAGGAGCTTGAGACCAGCCTGGGCAAAACAGCAAGACTGTCGCTGAGCAACCACAACAACAAAACACACACATCCCAGCCTGAGCAACATAGAATCTCTACAAAAACTCAAAAAATTAGCTGGGCATGGTGGTACATTCCTGTCGTTCCAGCTACTCGAGAGGCTGAGGCAGAAGGATTGTCTGGGCCTAGGAGGTCGAGGCTGTGGTGAGGTGTGATCGTGCTACTGCACTCCCGCCAGGGCGACAGAGTGAGATTCTGACTCAAAAAAGTAAAATGAAATACTAACTACCAAGCAAAACACCAAAAGAAACAACAAAGGGATACCCTCTCCTGGGAGAGGTGGGAGCTGGGGTCTGGGGAGGCCCTCAGAAGAGAAGTAGATGGGAGTAGGGTGCTGGGATTGGAGGAGAAGGGCCGAGTGGTATGGAAGTGCCCCAGGTGCTGGAGATGGCATGCGCGTCCCAGCCGTGTGACTTTGGTCCCTTCCTGTTGCTCTGTAAAGTGATGGACTGGACTAGGCGATCTGAGTCCCTGCCAGCTCTGCTGGTCCAGGGCCAGGATCTGGGCTGCTGGTAGACACTGGACGCCCCACCCCCACTCCTTCCATCCCTTCCTCCACATCGTCCCAGCTACATGAACAAGGCAGAAGGAATAGGAAGGACATCATTCCGAGAAGGTGTCTGTGAGGAGACATAAAAGTGGAAATTTGGGGTGAGGAACCAAAGAGAAAAGAGAGAGGAGAGGGGAGAGACAGCAGCTGTGCCTGCTGCAGTGGATGGAGGGGCAGAGGACACAGAGGACAGTCCTTCTCCCGGGGGCCTGCCACGTTTGGAAGGGCAGCGACCCCTGGGGGCTGGTTGCTCATTAAGGAACTTTCTCTCCGTTTGGGACCCCAGCAGGGCCTGGACGTGACCCTTTAACAGGCCACTGGACCTGCCCAGAGAGATGCTGGGGGAAGAGGCCAGCACAACGCCCAGGCCTGTGTCCTGGCCCAGAAGGGTCATTCGGGGGCCTGTATCTGGTACAGCCATGCCCCGCTGGAGCCCTGTACCCATCCTGCTCTGAGGTAGCCTGACTTTTTATCTCTTTTCTACCCGACCGCCCTCGCTATCCTTTCGCCCCTGGCCCATGCATGACATGGGGCAAACACAGCTTCTCAGGTTGAGGCCTCTGGTTTACAGAACGAGGCAGGTCCTTGGCCACCCAGGCAACCCCACAGTGCACCGTGAGGGCAGTGAGACAAAGACTGGCTTGTGTTGGGAGTTACCAGGGCCAGCGTGATACATAGGGACCGAGGGGGGGGCAGAAATATGTCCTCCACCATCTCTCCCTACTCTGCAGTCTTAAAACTCACAAGGAGTCGGGTTCGGTGGCTCAGCCTGTAATCCCGCGCCTTTGGGAGGCTGAGGTGAGTGGATTGCCTGA